GTTTTATTTTGTCTAGGTAGGCTGTGATGCCTGCCGCTGTAGGTTGTGTTGTGTTCCTATCCTCTTGTAGATTATAGAGGGCGTGGTAATATTTAATTCTTCGCTTATTTCTCTAGGTGTAATGCATTTTTGGCCCTTGCTATCTAGTATGTAAGCAATTTTTTGGTTTGCTTGTTTCTTTTTTAGATGAGTGGCCAGAAGTTTGCTTGCTTTGTTTCCCTGTATGTAGTGGGTTATTTTTAGTTTTGTCATGTTTGCTTGTGTTTGCTCTAGGGCCTGTTGGTGTATTAATCTGGTTATAGTTGCGATGCGTTGTTTGTTGGTTTCTAGCAGTTTTATTTGATTTTGTGTGTTTAGGTCATACAATTCTTGTTGCCATTTTGAGCTTGGTGTTTGTGTGTTTTTTGAGATATGCTGCCCTTCTAATTAGTAGTCCCCTGGCTACTGTCTTGTGAGCCTGCCAGACCGTTGTTGGTGTTACCTCTCCTGTGTTATTTAGTGTAAAGTAGGATTTTAGGTCTGCTGTTAGTTCCTCCATGTATTCCCTGTCATGGAGTAATGTGTTGTTGAGTTTCCATGGGCTACGGTGCTTATAGTCGTACATGTTTTTCATGTCAAGGAGCACTGGCGCGTGGTCGGACCATGTAATCTGTTGTATGTCGCAAGTGTGCAGTTGATTTAAGTGTGGACCTGATAGGAGAAATCTATCTATCCGGGAGTATGAGTTGTGTACATTGGAAAAGTGGGTGAATGCTTTATCTCCTGGGTGTGTTACGTGCCATGCATCGTAGAAGTGGTATTCGTTTATGAGTTTCTGGATGGCCTTACATTGTCTCCTTAGTGGTCGGTGTCTACTACTCTGTTGTGATAGAGTGGTGTCTAGTTTGGGGTCTAATATGTGGTTGAAATCCCCGCAAATCACTGTGATCCCTTGTTGTATATTGCTTACTTTTTTAAGGATGCTATGGAGGAAGTTTCGTTGGTTTACATTGGGCGCATAGATGTTTACTATTGTGTAGGGCATATCATTGATTACTCCCTTTACTATGACATATCTGCCGTTTGCGTCAGTTTCATGATATTGTGGTTGAAAATTCAAGTGTTTGCTTAGGAGGATGGAGGTTTCTCTAGATTTAGCGGGTGAGGTGGCGTGATACTGGTGCGGGAAGTGGAGAGATTGAATAGTGGGGTGATTGTTGTGCCTAAAGTGTGTCTCCTGTAGGCACACTATATCAGTGTGTAGTGATGTGAGGTCCCTGTTTAACAAATGTCTCTTTGCAGGGATATTAAGTCCCCGTACATTCTAAGTACATATTCTCACGGTGGTTTCGTAACGCGCTGTTGCTTTGATGTATCATGCTATCTATTTCTACAGGGTCCAACACTCTCCCCAACGTTAAGAAGCTGAGTGATTGTTCCCCTGTTTTGCTAAAGGATCTGGGCGCCGCCAGAAAGTTCGTGCAAGTAGTGGTCTCTTGGAGTTTGTGAGTTCTGTGTGAGAGAGGTGTACGTGTGGTAACGCTTATGTGTCCCCTAGTGTTTTCTGTTTTTACAGGGGTACAATAAACAGAACATGAAAAAAACAGGAATGAACATAACAATAACAACAAAAGTATATACAGTCAATAGTACTGCCTTAGGTATGGCTAGGCACTGCGTCTCCGTGCCCTGGGGGTTGAAGCTACGCTTCTTGACCTGGTGGGTCCCTGCCCTTATTGCTTCACTTAGGTTTTTCTAGTGTTGTGTCGCCCTACATAGGCTTTTTAGTCAGTGTCGCGGTTTGTGTATTGAAGTAGTAAAGTACTTTGTTTTATCTGATGGTTGGATGTGCTCTTTGCATTTTCTGCCTGGAGAACCTGGGTGCTAGTGATGTGGGTCATCGCTTTCTCTTTGGGAATATCTGGCTCCGGTTGTCTGTCTATGCTTTGGGCCCTAGCTGCTGCCCCCTCTCCCTCTTGGCCCTATTCTCCTTGATTCCCCTTGGATTGACCCGGCAAATTTAAGAAAAAGTTCCCCCCCATTTTTTTTGCATTTTCTCTTAGGTAATGACAATGATTCCAGTTACGTTACCAATCCCTGGCTTCGTCCCGGCTTAGTCCTTACATTCATGGTTCGCCCTTATTGTAAGTATTTTGTGATGATGGTCAGTTAATTTTTTCTTTGTTTTCCTCCAATCTGGGGAGAGTCTGTTTACGGTTGACCTCATGGTCGATTGCTCCGGCATGTCGATATCCCATGTTTTAAGGGTTTGATGTCCTTCTTCTGGTGATTGTATTACCGTGGTTTTTCCTTTACGGTTGACCAGGAGTTTTGTCGGGTATCCCCAGCGGTATGGAAGATGGTGTTCTCTCAGTCTCTGTGTTATGTCGTTGAATTCTCTCCGGCGTTTCAACATGTAGGCGGAGATGTTGGCGTATATCGCTATTTTTTTTTTGTAGATCTCCGGTAGTCCTTTGCTCGTTCTATTGGCATGGAGTGAGGCTTCTTTAGCGCGGTAATAGTGCATGCGAAGTAGTACATCTCTTGGTGTTTCAGGGGGTAAGAAGCTAGGTTTCGCTGTGCGATGAATTGTGTCTATTAGGAGCATGTCTTGAGGCCAGTCCGGAAGCAGGTGTTTTAGGAGGCCTGTGACATGTGCCATGAGGTCTGTCGTTCCCACAGTCTTCGCAGTTGTATTCGCAGGTTATTTTACGTGCACGGTCTTCCATGTCTGCTACTTTTATGTCTTGTGCATCTAACCTGGCTGCCAGACCATCCACTGTGTCAGCCAAGGTGTTGGGGGCCACTTCATATTCTGCCATCTTGTCCTCCACTTGTGAGGTTCTTGTGCCCAGCTCCTGCAGATCTTTCCCAAGGTCTTTCATTGCTGTGTCCAGCTTTTGTAATATTTTGGTGGACATTTCATCCAGCAGTGATTTTAGTGAGCTGTGCATCAACAAGGGTTCCGGCTCTGCAGACTGCCAGTGGGTTCTGTGCCATCGTCGGCGCCATCTTGGGCCTGGTCATGCTGGTGTTGAATTTTGCTTTGGCCGGTTTTGGAGGCAAAGAAATTCTTTTTTTCTCCGCAGTCCGTTTTCCTTTGGGCTGCGACATGTCTGTCTAAGTGGTTGTTGCCTATGTGTGTGGGCTTAATAGCTCCTTTTGAAGCGTTTTCGGAGCGGAGCTGCGTTTACATGCGGCTTCTCCGGTCCTCAGTCAGGCCACGCCCCCATTTTTAAAATATTTTATTCATATTAAATTATGTTTCATACCTAAATATTTGATGTTAAATGAAAGCCCTGTTTCCCCTGAATAGAATGATATATAATAAATGTGGGTGCACATAATATGAAAGAGGCGAATTACGCCTGAACAGACATATAGCGCAAATTCCAGTTTTTGTTTACGTTTTGTTTTGATCACAATGTGTACATTTGGCTCAGTCCTTAAGGGGTTAACAGAAAGATACATCAGTTATAAATTTGAAGGAGTCTAGTGGCTTAGATAAAAGTATAGCCCTCAGGTCCAGAGGATAAGGTCAACCCAGTATTCTACCGAGCACTGCTGTAATGGTTTGCTATATTGGTCGTAACTTTGGACACATACACCAGCAGTGGAGAAAAGTCCAGGTTCTCAACATTGCTTCCAGCATAAATTGTTTGGAAAGTGGTGTATGATCGCCAAATGATGGGACATAAGATACAACCAAAATAACATTTTATAGGCTTGTTCTTTATGCGTGAAACATGTCTTTAGGGAAGCTATTGTGTTCCAACTGTCTGACCAGAAATGCAATATAAAATCACTTTTACATTGGTACTTACCATTGTTTTGTTTACATAAAATTTACTGTTTCCTCAGATTGTTGGAGGTTTCCCAATGAGGTGGGAACTGTCATATTTTTCGGGTTTGATCAAGTATTTAACAATTTTGGTTGCAAATCGGTGGGGAGGGTGGGGATAAACATAACCTCATAGTATTTACAGTTTATCCCGTTCCAACAGATTTCCGATTAGGTTATTAATTTATGGTTAAATATAGTCATTGTAGCCCAGTAATCTGTAGCCAAAGCGTGGAGGTCCACTAACCCTCATACTCTGATGATTGGAGATTAATGGGGTTAATGACAGTAGGACGTGGTGCAGTATGTCCTCTCCAGATTCTCCTACAGTACATTGGGAGCTATGGCACGATTGTTTCCACAAGTCCTCTAGTTAGTATGGTGAGACCTGGGCAGATTGATCCCTTTTGACCTGTTTTTGCACTAGACCTATGTATCTTGACACACAGTATGGTCAATGTTGTGTGGTGGACTCTGCTCGTATCCATGTTTACTTTTTGTTTAATTTGTGTTGGTGTTTTATTTAAGTTTAATACCATCCTGCTCTGTGCAGTATTAGAAATATATCGTAAAGACATGTGGGTGGATAGTTTTGATTGTTAAATTGTACACAAGCAGATAGTCCTACAACTCCACCACAAGCATTTCACTTTTATTTTATTTGCTTTGAAACTTAAACACATATAGAAAAACAAGAGAGTAAGCAGTGGTGTGGGGAGGGCTATACAATACTGTATGGGAAGACAGTCACCAACGCAGGCTCCTTAAACACATTCACACAGTCATTTTCCACAATCTCCCCCTACCCTGACAGTCAACCCCAACTCACAGCCATAACCAATACAAAAACTACACACATCAAGACGACAAGCAGATCCCCTCCTCCCACATTCTACCAAAGAAACATTCTAAACACACTGACAAATATCCAGTGCCAGACACACACTGTCAGTATGTTTGTGTGCATCCATATGCTTGTGCATGTATGTGTGTCTGCGTGTCCAATAAACTCTCCTTACAAGTACCTTTCTGATTCATATATATTTATCAGAATCCATGTTTGCACATATTTACAATTTTATCAATTCTAATAATTCTGACTATGCCAGAGCTCCCGTCATTTTATTCTATTCCACATACAAAAGAACCAAACAAGATATTTGGATTTCAAGGGGTGGAAAAAAAAAGTCAGATTGATAAATCTCATTGTGTTTTTATTTTATTTAAACAAAAAGGTAAAATCATACACACAATCAATTGCATTAGTCTGTGTCTCATCAAAAAGGGCAAGCAGTAACAGTTCCAGCAGCACCTTAGATAAAGCCATACATTGATTTCAGACTATATTTTCTGACTCTTAAGTTCCCAGTAAGACTTGCATAATGCTGTTTAGAAACCAAACGCTAATTTCTCACAGGCAATATAAAAACTGTAAAGGATATACAATTTCCTGATCAAACCATGCATTTCTAGACCATTTGATACTTAAAGAAGCATTCTTAATACCATATCCATGACAACTCATTGGAATACTAATGGGGCAAGAAGTCTTGGGGTATCATCCCTCTCGTTTATGTTAAAAAAAAAAAAAAGATTGAGCAGACTCTTTAAAAATGCTCTAAAAGATTTTGCTGAACAGCTGCTTTGATGTGCAGTTGCTCAAGCAACTCAAACGAGTAAGACACTCCAAAACAGCAAAAATGTTAAACAGTTTGACAGATTACCAGAGGTTGGCACATTTGCTGCATGTGATTGTTACTAATACCGATCTTAAACTGAATTGCCAGTCATAATTATGGATGAGTGAGAGGTCAGGATTATAAGCACTTAGTGGAAGTTTCATTTGGGAACAGTACTGCTACCAATTGCATACAGCAAATGTTGGCCTCATTTTGAAGGAGAATGGCATCAACCTTTTTAATAGAGCTGCCCCCATGATTTTATGTGTTATATCGCTGTGCCAAGCCTCCTATGCCTCCCTGTAAAAGATTCATATCGGTTTCTCATAGAGAATCATTAACTTTATGTTGACTGATCTTGAATCAGCTTCTTACAATAAGCTGGTTAAAAATATTGACAAGGCCTAGCCAGAGCTATTCAGGGAAAAAGGCTTTGTTTTTAGAAGTAATAAAAACTGCACATTTAAACAGTATATGCATTGTTAAAAAAAATAAAATGTTTTATCCCAGAATGCTCAATTAAGGTAAAGCCATAGAGTGGACTGATGTAGACTCCTAAACAAAAAGCAAATAAATAATTGGACTTTAGTAGACTGGCTTCAGACATGCAATGTATGTTTATGCCAGTGTGACCCAGCCTCACATAAAGATGCCCTTTTGAGTACTTTTCCTTAAAACCAGTGGTATTCAAGAAAAATCTATTTTTTAACAGTGCAAGAAATTAAATAGTAATGTCAAAATAACTTTACCAGGTAGAGTGAGTGCATTAGCTTTTATTATTTATTTCCAATTATTTGGGGATTAAATCCAAGTTTCATGGCGCTTATCTAATCAACGTCAAAAAGATTAAACGCTCAGGTGAACCTGTATGTAACAGACACGGTTTTGTAACAGGCATTAGAGCACTCACCAACAAGCTGTGTAACAGGCTATAAAATTAAATTTGGGTTAAAAGTTGGCTTGACATCACATGGCTCATTTTCCTAACTAATCATACAAGAGTCACCAGCATAGATTTCATAAATAAAATCTTCACATGAGAACATTTTTGAGTGCAGTTTCCATTTACCAATGTGAACTTTGGTCAACCATGGCAAATTAATGAGCAAAATGTGTGTCGATGCTAAAAACCCCATATCTGTATTTCTTCATTTTATGCAAAAAAAGAGAGACAGACTGTTTAATTGCAGTGCAAATTTCAAATGTGGCAAGTAGAAAGCACCATCTTGAAAACGCCTGTAAACCAACAGAATTATAAATTTGCATTGTAAAAAAAGTGGCATTGAAACTTTTATTTAACAGCTATACCCCTAAAATCTGGCTATTTGCAAACTTCTGAAAAGATACTAATTGTAAACAATACTGATACAAGTTCTTAATAAATATAGCTTATTAAAAGGTTTAATGGAATTTAACACTGTATAGATAATTTATATTGGTAGCATTTTGATACACCCTTTATTCAATTCTTTGTGAACAAGGATGCTTGTTTTAGTTTGTCATTTAAAAAAGAATAGTAAATCTATAAAAGAAACATTTGATGAATACATAATTTCAAACTTTTAAAAGGTCTACTGTCTATTTAAAAAACAGTACATTTTTTTTTTTTTTTTAAATCTGATTCATTCTGCGCATGTCTTGCTGCTGACATTCAACAGAACATTTCTGATCTCTGTGTGCAGCATAAATGAATTGCAATGTCAGTAGTGTATAGTAAAAAATAAATAAGTAGCCAACAATTTCAATAAGTATTCAAGTATGCAGCCATCCTGTATCACAAAAGGCAAATGATAATGTAGCATGATAAATCAATAAAGCTTATGCTTTGATTGTACAAAGATCATATTTTAACTTTTGAACAATCAATTTCTGCTTACTCTTTTTAGGCATCATTTTATTGCCAGAAGTGCTTCCAACAGCAGCAAAATGGTCAATATAATACTTTCAGTGATGGGCACATTGAAAACAAACATTTCACAAAGAATGTGCTATATAAACAAGGTATTGTTCTAGATGTGTCTGCTATTTTAAGTACCATCTGGTGCAAAAACAAAAAAAAACAGGACAACACAGAGTTAACAGCAAAAAGATGTTTGCACACAGGGAACCTGTACAGACTTATGAGAAGATAATGTTCCAAGTATTACAAGGTCAAGTACATTACATAGTTTCTTATTGAAAGAGCACTTTAGAGTATGGCAATATATTGGAGGACTATCATGTAGCAATTAAGGCTCAAAGTTGCAAACCATCTTCAAAAACAAACAACCCTATCTCCTCCTAAAACTGCTGTCCTGTGTGAAAGCAAATGAAAATTATTTGCAGCAGTTGATTGAAGATTATTTTATCTGCCACTCAAAGAGCTAGTCGCAACAAGTGGTGTATAAAGTTTGTCCTGAAAACAAAGTAGTTAAATGCAAAATAATGAATATTGATTTATGAGGGCAATTTTTATAAGCATCTGAAGAAATGCTAAAATGCTTTAGTACTCAATTTGGTTACATGAGCAAGTTCCATTGTCCCAGGAAAAAAAAAAAAAGTGAAAAAAACAAACAAACAAACCACACACCTACTCACACTTTATGATATCCAATTTATAGGTATGATTATTCTAAGGAGGGTTCTCATAGTCCACTGTGAGACACTATCACCATATATAGAATCCATGTTTGATTTATGTCAGCCCCATATGCTATTCTACAAGCCCTTTAGCATAGGCTTCCTGACAAATTGAGGTTAGGAAACAGACATGGTTATTAATTTAAAGAGGAACTGCCACTTCCCAGTAATTTTAAGAATATATTTACCAAATATGTATTTAAAAATTAATAATTATATGTAGAATTCCATGGATCTTTATCCTACAACTAAGTGGATCCATCTTAGATCACTGTCAATCCTATTTTAAGCTATTTTGTACCTGGCATTCAGTATAGAAATTAAAATGTTCTATTTCTCTTCATTTGTAATATTTGCCTAATTAAACTGGATTAAGATGCAACTTGCTAAATCTGATCTAAAATTAAAAGAAAATAGATCATCTCATGAAAAATAGCTTAATACAAGTTATAAGGGATTTTCAAAGTCTTATTCAATGGTGTAAATTCCAGAGAAGTGACAGGTACCCCCTAAACATAAATTATGGGGAATAAAAAGCAAAGCTTCAATATAGCCAAACTGGGAACATAACTGTCTGATAATTTTCTAATTCAGCTATTGTGGAGTTAAATGTATGATTAACTATGAATTCTTGACATTTTATATTGTACTACTTCTGTGTATTTTATACGAATTTCCAAATTTCTAAAATGTTTATCAGTGTACCAAATCTCTAGTGGCAAATCTCACATGCACCGGTTTCATTTACAGATGGTATTGGCATTTATATAACTTAGTAAAAAGTAAAGTTATACAGGTGAAGGACAATTGAAGCGATAATTATGTGCACATAGTTTGGGAGTGATATTCAATGATTGAAATACCAAATCATGCAAATATAGTCTGGGCACTTTTGCCCAACATATCCATCAATAAATACTCTACAATAGATCATATATAAATAATATATTACACTGCAGCATCAAAGAATACAGTCAGGATTAAACCCCTTTTTTGCCAAAGGGGTGGATAAGCCCAACTGTAATGAATGTGTTCTTAGAGGCTAATGGTGGTGAAGTCGGCAACTGGATTTAAGGTTTTCTGTGTTATAAGCTTTAAGGATGACACTCTGAGCCATTTGGAAAGAAACATGTTATTTTCGACCTTGGTTCAGCATTTTTTGAGGTAGTTTGAACCAATTTAAACATGGTCAGCAAAAAGAGATTATACCTCCCCAAAGTTGGTGTGTCCAGTCTCCTTAGCATGATCTCTAGCAGCCGCCTGCCCAGTTAAACCTTTCTGACACACCATACAGCGCAAAGCAAATCTGTTTACATCTGTGAACTGTCTCTTTTTCCTTGCATCATCTGCCAGCTCCAGGGCCTGCACTAGTGCTTCATCATCCATAGTTGAAAATATTGTCATGGGGGGCACATCGCGTTCAGTGAATTGTCGTTGCAATGGATCGTAGTGAATGCCATCATAGATGAGCATGACCCTTTTAGTATAACCAGCATCTTCACCAAAGCGATCTATCCTCACAGTTTGTGTATCGACCACACATATTTCACACTGGAAAAATTTGGAAAGTATGGAAATTTCGATGGCACCACCCCATGTATCGCCTCTCCGTATCCATGCACAATATTCCTCATTGGTTTTACCTAGCACTGCCTCACAGTAATTCGATGGGTCACTGGACACAATATCAGCAATAAGATTGCGCATTTCAGGTGCACATGCAGGGTCGTATATGCCACCTTCCACAACATAGTAAACACTGGTGAAGAGACAGGAGTTATCAGCTGGAACGACACGACGCTCAATTTTGATCCCGGTTAGAGGCTTGGAGACTGGTGGAAGTGCTGTATTTTGCTTACTTTTATCCTCTTCAACAATAAGTGTGTCACCTACAAATGTTAACAAAGCAAAATTAAATACTTTTCTAGTCAAATATGCAGAAACAATTAAAATAATATTTATGCATTTATTGCCTCCAGTCGGATGACACTTGCAGCTGCTGAAAGGATAAGAGCAAGGCAGACAGATGCATTAATATTGTCTTTCCATTCGTAAGACAATTTATTTGTGGTTTTGGAGCAGTTTCACAACAGAAATGCACCACTCCCTACTCTTTCCCCATACTCTGTCACATGACTGCATTATTAGTATCAATTCTGTCCACGGACAGTAGTCATGGTAATAAACTTTAGCTCTCTCTGTCTATCCATGGCATCCTTTCAAATCAGAACTAATTGTTCTCTTTCCTGTTTTCCAAAGATAATTTAACTTAATTCATAACCAGGTTCTGTTCCAAAAGTGAAAAACATATCAGAAGTACCTCTATTCTAGTTTTCAAGTTAAGTAGCGGGGAAAACATTGTGAGAACATGTCGCTGGTTGGGGTAGGAGCATCACAGATCCCTTGAAAAGAAGTTGGAAAAATATTGTTTTCAACTATAACCCATCATTATTCCCTAAATTAATTCTGAACTGTAATTAACTGAAACCCAGATAACAAAAATGAGGCTAAAAAAAACAGAAAAACGACCATAGCCTTGTATTTTAAAATGAGCAGTTTTTGTAATTTGTCTTCTGTGTGAATTCATTGCAATCTGAGTTTTTAATTAAAAATCTGCTATTATTGCTTTAATTTAGATATACCACTAACAGAGCATACAGATGTATGTATACATATTTGTTTTTTAATAAGTGAAGTCCTTAATGATACAATAATATCAGTATGAAAAAGAGAGAAATGAGTGATGGTTAACATTGCCCCCCACACAAAAAAAAGATTCTACATAGGCCTTGGTGATTCAGCAGAAACCATGGACAGTGTGCACCCATTGTCTGGTTATTCTTACTGGCTGGGGGTTGACCTAGAAACAGTGATGGCTAAACCTGGTGCTATAAGTATACTATGAGCCATGTACAGTAAATGCCCTAGGGAGGGGGTCTTTACTTTGTATAGGATGCCCTGTATACTGGGACACGGTTTTCCTCCCTCCCTCTCCCCCCACAGGGGTGTGACAGGGAGAGCTCCTCACCGGATTTGATGGGCAGTTCTCCCAGGGTGCCATCCACGTTGCTGAGGTCCAGGTTTTCAGGGGGGAAGCCCACCATGACCCGCTGCCGGGGGCCTACAATCCCGGTAACCCCGGCGATGCTGTCCTTCAGCTCCCGGATGGTGGAGAGCGCGGTCAGGCCTTGCAGGAGCTGGCTGCCCTCCCGGGTTTTACAGCGGAGTCGGAGCATTGCTAGAGAACACGGGGACCAGGCACCTCCAGCACAATAACACTGACTGTGACAGAACACCGGGACACACAGCCCCGCGAGATTACACACAGTCCCAGAATCTCGCGATAACTCCGTCAGACCATTGTTAGTAATAGCCTGCAGGCGACCTGTTGATAGACAACCAACTTGGTACACCCGGAAGTGACGTGTTAGCGTTCCAAGGTAACTGCTTCTAATGAGTTGATTTCTCTGGCTACAAAGTAGAGATATGGGACTGAAGGTTCCAAGTACTAACTAGAGAAATGATTTGACCCTTTTAAGACGGGAATGTTTTGGAGGTTACAATGCACTTCAGTGTCAGAGACTGTATGATAGTCACTTTATTTTACAGATATTTTAAGTCCTTTTTGGAACGAAAAGTTCTGCCTCAAAAACTGTTTTACCTGGTAACACCTAGATTAGACAAACTGAATCCATAATAATTCACAGCCCAGATTTTACTACGAGTCCCAGCAGTTTGCTGACACACATAGAGACAGCCTTAGCCGTCAGTGTATCTTCCCTGGGTTGACCTGCCCCGCCTGATAGTCTGCTGCACAAATCACCTTTTACTGCGACTAACAAATGGAATTCTTGTTACTCTCCACGGGTGGATTCCTGACAGTTCCATTTGTTCTGCGCAGAATGTCGGGGATTTAATCTGTTTGTTGCAGGTGAATAGAGCCCGTGCACAATCCTGGTGGCAGTAGGAGTGATCAATTTATTGCACGGAGGAATACACTGGCTGGGGCCACCATGAAGGCTCGCTGGAGGAATTCCTTGGGAGCTCTGCTGGCAGTGGTCGCACTTGGGGTGACAGTGTTAGTGGCGGTGCTGCTAATCAGGACGTACACCCTGGCAGAATTCAAGAGAGTCCGGCTTGGAAAAGGGGCCCCGGCTGCTGAGCTGAGCCAGGGGGAGAGAGAACAGCTCATAGAGGCATTGAAAGGTGAGTATGATGGTATGCTGTGGATCCAACCCCATCACAATCAGTAAGCCTGACACTTGTAAAATAGGGTGGTTGGGACGCCGTTGTTTACATTGAAATAGCAGGAGTATCGTTTTGCCCAGATCTACGGATGTATACTTCTTATTTGTTGCCAAAATATTTTTTAGAAAGAACAATATAAACGTTTGTCTTGATTCTACAGGTGCAATTTCTTTGACTTTTTATTTACCATAAAGTAAAGTGCAACAAAGCAGGTAGGCGCTAAACAGGTGCATCCAAACCCAACTGTGAAATCAATCACCTAATGTTTCCCAAAATCAATAGATAATAAATACATATAGTCAGGGCCAGATTAACAGCCCAGTGGGCCTGGTGTTGACAATTATGATGAGCCTAATTAAAGAATCCTATCGACCAAAAACACTAAAACACTCCCATGCGTCATGTATCTGATGGAGATGGTGCTTTTGAGAGAAAGAAAACACATACCCTATGCTAATCTCCCTCTAACTTATGTTTTCATCTTTCAAGTAAATCCATAACCCCTAACAGCAGTGTCCAGACAAGCAGGAAGTCAATGGGCACGGTAAAAGGGTGTGCCACTGACACAAATCACGTAACCTGCCAAAAGGGGCGAACATGCCCAAAAAGAGGACATGTCTGCCCAAAGAATTTGAAGGCCAGCCTGGCATGAATGCATATCAGACTGCCTGCCAATCATGCAGCTGGCCAACTAAGGGCATACTATGCAGACAGCACCCTGAGCTTGGTATAAATGCATCTAATGATGCACTCGCTCAACGCTCTCTAAAGGACTGTCCCCTAGCACTCGCGGGTCCACTTGTCTCCTTACCTTCTTACTAGCAGGCAAACGCTCCTGGTATATAGTCTGGGACAGAGAAAAGCTGTATGTAGTGAGTGTAGAAGAAAGGGAACATGCCACAGTGTTAGAGAGACCAAAGTCAGCATTACCTTAAAGGATCACTATAGGGTCAGGAACACAAACATGAATTCCTGACCCTATAGTGTTAACACCACCATCTACCCCCCTCCCCTCCCTGGGCCCCTCATGCCTCCATGTAGTAAAAATCTTACTGTATTCAAGCCTGAAGCTGTAACTCTACATGCTGTTAGACTCAGAAAAGCAAGCAGTGTGCTGACATAATTAGAAGTGGTGGCCTGATCCAATCACAGTGCTCCCCCATAGCATTGGCTGAGACTGACAAAACGGCAGATCAGGGGCAGAGCCAGCATGATTCAAACACAGCCCTGGCCAGTCAGCATCTCCTCATAGCATCTCCTCATAGAGATGAATTGAATAAATGAATCTCTATGAGGAAAGTTCAGTGTCTGCATGCAGAGGGTGGAGACTCTGAATGTTTGGATGCATTTTAGGCAGCCATGACCCAGGAAGGATCTCTAACAGCCATCTGAGGAGTGGCCAGTGAAGTTATCACTAGGATGTAATGTAAAGACTGCATTTTCTCTGAAAAGACAGTGTTTACAGCAAAAAGCCTGACGGTAATGATTCTACTAACCAGAACAAATTCAATAAGCTGTAGTTGTTCTTGTGACTATAGTGTCCCTTTAACTATATTCATTGTCAGCCAGTCCACACAAGTTTTGTTCCCATACATCCCTCTTAAGTTTCCATACTTAAGTAAGAGTATGTGAAAAGTAGTTCGGGTTGCCACCTTTCTTGGAAAAACATACCGGCCTTACTAATTTGCATAATTAAATATGTATGAGGGACATCACATGATGTAAATCACAAGGAGTGACGTAAAAGAAAATGCTGTAAAATCACCAAAATACTACTTAGTTTGATTATGCTGTATAGATGGATTCCTCTCAGTGGCCCCCATGTTTCCCAGTGCCCCCATGTGTCGATTACTCCAGGTCTCAGCGTTCCTATGTATCACAGTGTCTCAATGCCCCATGTCTCCCTGTGTCCTCCAGTATTCCCATGTGTCTATGTCCCCATGTATGTGTCACTAGGACACTAGGAAGACGGGGAGACCTGGGGACAAGGGGAGACCTAGGGACACAGAGACACCAGTGACACTGGGAAACTAGGGGACACTGGCTGGGACACATGGGGACACTGGGAAAATAGGGGACACTTGAAGACATGGGGACACAGACACTAGAGACACTGGCTGGGGGACATGGGGACATTGAGACATGGGGGCACTGGGAGACATGGGGACACTGAGACACCACGGCCACAGACACTAGGGACACTAGCTTGGAGACATGGGGACATTGAGACACCTGAGGCACTGGGAGACATGGAGGCACTAGAAGACATGGGGACAGTGAGACACTGGGAGACTAGGGGGCACTGAGACACAAGGGACACTGGCAGGGAGACATGGGGACACTGTGTCCCCATGTGTCTGTGTCATAATGTCTCCCAATGTCCCTTAGTGTCTCAGTGTCTGCCATAATGTCTCCCTCCCTTAGTGTCTGTGTCCCCATGTCTCCTTGCAGCCTTTCCCCCCATCCCTTACTTCCCTGAGCTGTAGGCTGTCTCTGCAGGGTGGGAGTTGCTGTCTGGACTCTCTGTAGCTGAACCCCTGCAGATCAGTGAGTAGAGAGAGGCAGGGAGGGATATGCTGGAACTTCCTATCCCTGCCTGTCTCCACACACAGCGACCCCTACTGGCCAGTGCTGGTATTGCATAGTAATCTCTTGTTTATACTGAGAAAAATACCAGCATTTGTATTGCCAATATCACTGCAATATTGGCACCAGCCAGGAAGCCTCAAATACTGGCTGTGCCAATAAAATAAAAGCCAGGTGGAATTTTTTTTTTTTTTTTAAATCAATGGGCCTATTCCATGGGCCTGGAGCTGCAGCTCCATCAGCCCCTATGTTAATCCGGCCCTGCATATAGTGGGTGGCACACACAGTGATAAAACACAAAAAATGTGTACAGTGATGTGGTGAGTAGAAATACAGTATAAACACCATATATAGCTTCCTCTTAAGGGTAGCTGGAAAAGATAATAGCTAATATAGGACAGTACAGTCTGTATAAGATATAGAGTGCAAGTGCAGGTACATATATACATCCAACTCACATTTTACTGAGCCTGTGATACACTGGCTCTGGTAAATCAGCATGAAAGGAGTAACTTGATTCTGGATGCAGTCTTGCAAAAATATTCTCCACAACATAGGAATAAGAGAAGGCTCCAGGTTAAAAAGACATCTAATTTGTTCATATAACACACATAAAAAAATATTACATCAAGTAAGGTGGTGGCTTCAGCAATAAATCCTTCCTCATAAAATCAATAAAGTCCACACACAATGAGTTTCGACAGTCTTCCTCAGGTGCATGGTGTACTTTCCCCATGATGTAGCTCAGCCCCCTGACAGCCACCATTGGCTGGATTGTGACCGGCACTTTTAACCTCCGCCCACTTCTGTTTCGGTGGAGATGTTAGTCATTCATGGTGTTGTGTGTTATGTCGAAACGCGTTTAACGTCTGATATGGCTAAGGTGCTTGTCCATGTTGCTGTCCTCTCTTGCTTTGACTACTGTAATCCGCTTCTCAGTGGTCTTGCGTGTTCCCAACTTGCCCCATTACAGTCTATAATGAATGCATCGAGGCTCATCTTCCTGTCCACCCGCACCTTCCACGCCTCCCCCTCTGTCAGTCCCTACATTGTCTTTCCGTAAGATATAGGACCCGGTTTAAGATCCTAATACTTGCTTACAAATCTCTACACAATGCTGGTCCGACATATATATCTTCACTTGTACACAAATATGTCCCGACTAGGTCCCTACGCTCTGCCGGAGACCTACGTGTAACCTCTGTTCGTATTCCTACCTCTGATGCTCACCTTAAAGATTTCTCTAGGGCTGCACCATTCCGATGGAACACCCTTCCCCTCTCTGTTAGACTTTCACCCAGTCTCACTCCTTCAAAAAAATCTTTGAAAACGTACTTCTTTAGGAAACCATATCAATTAAACTGTGAACATCTTTCTCTCCCCGCACCCTGATTCCTCTCCTGCAACTGTCTTTAAAACAACACTAAGCCCTCAGTAAATAATATCCTAGCAACGCACTTTTCTACCCTACCCTTACCTTTTGTGTCACTATACCCCACTCCCTCTCACATGTAAGCTCATTGATCAGGGCTCTCAGTCCCTCTGTTCCTGTGCATCCAACTAGTCTGGTTACAAATATGTGTCTTATAGTCCGCCCATTGTACAGCGCTGCGGAAATTGTTGGTGCTTTATAAATATTAGTAATAACAATTAGTCAATATTCCTGAGTATTGTAACTCCAAAAGATTTTAATTATTACATGTTGCTAATGCAAAACTCTAAACCAGCTAATTTCAAGTATATATTTTTAATGAAGCCATTTATGACCTTTTTCTTAAATGTGTGACAGGTGCAATTCGCATCCCCACTGTATCGTTCTCAGAAACAGAACAAAACACCACAGCCTTGGCAGAGTTTGGACAATATATTCGCAAAGGTACTAATTTTTTTTATTTTTTTATTTTTTCCCTCTTCTCTGTTTTCTACAGTGGCTTCATTGTGTAATATAGTTTGGCCTTACCCATCTGTTGCCAAATACAATTTGTTATGTTTATTTTGCCATGACATCATCTTTTTGAGGGAGGTGCATTTAACTCGTTTTCCTGGCACAATAGTGCCCTGAGGGTGCCCCCACCCTCTGGGTCCCAATCCCGCAGGGCTGATTGGGAGGAAGGGGGTTAAACACTCACCTTTCTACAGCGCCATGCTCACTCTGCGCTGGGGACTCTTCTCCCACTTCTGACATCACCAGCTGCATGCGCGGCAAGAGCCGCGTACACATTGTCAGTCCATAGGAAAGCATTCTCAATGCTTTCCTATGGACGTTGGCGTCTTCTCACTGTGAAAATCACAGTGAGAAGCGCGGAAGCGCCTCTGGCGGCTGTCAATGAGACAGCCACTAGAGGCTGAATTAACCCATTTGTAAACATAGCAGTTTCTCTGAAACTGCTATGTTTACAGCAGGCAGGGTTAATCCTAGATGGACCTGGGACCCAGACCACTTCATTAAGCTGAAGTGGTCTGGGTGCCTATAGTGGTCCTTTAAGCAATGTGAATGAAACTTTAAAAAGCAACAATATTTATCGGCCAAAACCTTACCGAATTTACAGCTAAATCAGTGCTACAATATTAACTTTTGCTGGGTTACTCCCTAACATTTGATTTGTAGTGAATACAAAGTGACTTTTATATTTGAGACAGTATTAGCCAAAATGAAAATACACCTTGGAGAATCTTTCAGATCTGGCAAGTTTGACCTAAAATTTTAAATTTACTTTGATTTCTTGACAGATCATGTTTTTGTGAGTAATCTTGATGCATGTAATAATCTGTGTTGCAATCCATTCAGCTAACAATTCTACAATACTTGTTTGTGCCTACATAAACAGGAAAAAACACGAAATGCTGGCTACCTTGGTTTGTATTTATGGCTAGAGGTGAGGATGTAGGTCATGACTTAGGGGAGGGGAGGTGTTGGTGGGGAGTTGTCCCACTTTACGTTCTTTCCTATTTTTCCCCTTTTTTTTATATATCCTTTTTTTTCTGGCCGTTTGTATCTTAGTGAGCTGGAGCTTGATTGGGATGTGTCAGGACCCAGAGTAGGGGTGCTGGTGTACCTGTGGCCTTTCTGGGTGACCTGTTTGATTGTAAAATTCCCAATTTTACTTATCCCTGAATATACAATGAACACACACTTGTTGAAGAGAGACCACTGGAACTTTATTATCGCTGTTATCCACTAAACACATTTCATCTAGTACATACAAACATTACATCCACTACACAAACACACACTACATCACTGTACACACACTACATCCACTACTCAAACACACTCTGCGTTCACTATACACACTGCATCCGCTACACAAACACACACTCTGCATTCACTGCACAAGCAGTATCGAATACACACAAACACTACATCCATTACACACATTCTAATTCACTTCCACTATACACACCACATTCAGTCCTGCATCATTGTCAGCGGACTAGGTAGGGCGTGGGCGGGCCGGGGGGCCAGACCTTGTGCTTTGTCAGGGGCTCCAAAATTTTGGATGGTGGCTCTGTACACCCCTCACATTTTTGTAAATAATTTATTATATGTTTTCACGTGACAACACTGAAGAAATTACACTCTGTTACAATGTAAAGTAGTACGTGTGTAGCCTGTATAACAGTGTAAATTTTCTGTCCCCTCAAAATAACTCAACACACAGCCATTAATGTCTAAACTGTTGGCAACAAAAGTGAGTACACCCCTAAGTGGAAATGTCCAAATTGGGCCCAAAGTGTCAATATTTTGTGTGGCCACCATTATTTTCCAGCACTGCCTTAACCCTCATGTGCATGGAGTTCACCAGAGCTTCACAGGTTGCCATTGAAGTCCTCTTCCACTCCTCCATGACGACATCAGGGAGCTGGTAGATGTTAGAGATTTTGCGCTCCCCCACCTTCCATTTGAGGATGCCCCACAGATGCTCAATCGGGTTTAGGTCTGGAGACATGCTTGGCCAGTCCATCACCTTTACCTTCAGCTTCTTTAGCAAGGCAGTGGTCGTCTTGGAGGTGTGTTTGGGGTCGTTATCATGTTGAAATACTGTACTGCGGCCCAGTCTCCGAAGGGAGGGGATCACTCTCTGCTTCAGTATGTCACAGTACATGTTGGCATTCATGGTTTGTACAATGAAGTACTGCCAGCACTTATGCACGCCCAGACCATGACATTCCCACCACCATGCTTGACTGTAGGCAAGACACACTTGTCTTTGTACTCCTCACCTGGTTGCGGCCACACGCTTGACACAATATGAACCAAATAAGTTTATCTTGATCTCATAGGACCACAGGGCATGGTTCTAGTAATCCATGTCCTTAGTCTGCTTGTCTTCAGCAAACTGTTTGCGGGCTTTCTTGTGCATCATCTTTAGAAGAGACTTACTTCAGGGACGACAGCCATGCAGACCTGTTTGCAGTGTGTGGCATATGGTCTGAGCATTGACAGGCTGATCCTCCACCCCTCCACCCCATCAACTCTACAGCAATGCTGGCAGCACTCGTACGTCTGTGGTGACATTTTGTCATCAAATTAATATGCAAAGACAACCTCTGTATATGACGCTGAGCACATGCACTCAACTTCTTTGGTAGACCATGGCAAAGCCTGTTTTGAGTGGTACCAGTCCTGTGAAACCGCTGTATGGTCTTGCCCATCGTGCTGCAGCTCAGTTTCAGGGTCTTGGTAATCTTCTTATAGCCTAGGCCATCTTTATGTAGAGCAACAATTCTTTTTTTCAGATCCTCAGAGAGTTCTTTGCCATGAGGTGACATGTTGAACTTTCAGTGACCAGTATGAGCAATTGTGAGAGCGATAACACCAAATTTAACACACCCGCTCCCCATTCACACCTAAAACCTTGTAACACTAACAAGTCACATGACACCGGGGAGGAAAAATGGCTAATTGGGCCCAATTTGGACATTTCCACTTAGGGGTATACTCACTTTTGTTGCCAACTGTTTAGACATTTATAGCTGAGTGTTGAGTTATTTTCAGGGGACAGCAAATTTACACTGTTATACAGGCTGTACACTTACTAATTTGCATTGTAGCAGAGTGTCATTTCTTCAGTGTTGTCACATGAAAAGATATAATAAAATATTTACGAAAATGTGAGGGGTGTACTCACTTTTGTGAGATACTGTATATACTAATAGTGTTAGACAAATGTTAGGCTTGTGTATATATATTTTATATATATATATATATGAAACAAGTACATGGACCTGGAGACAAACTACATTGTCCCCCCTCACCCCCAATCTACCACTAGTCTGTGCTAAATATGTAGTTGATGGAGGATTATGGAATTTGTACTTTATCAACAACTGAATGGAAAATGGTTTATCTCTGCCTTTCACTTTATGTTTTCTTATTAGTTTATCTTTTAGACTTGGTACAATGTATATTAATTTTGTTTGTTTTCTTTCCAGTCTTCCCTCTTGTCTTCTCTTCCAGTTTAATCCAACATGAAGTTGTGGGTGGTTACAGTCACCTTTTTACCGTTCGAGGCTCAGACAGCAATTTACAGCCATACATGCTTCTCGCTCACTTTGATGTGGTGCCAGCAACCCCCGAAGGCTGGGAGGTGCCACCATTCTCTGGTGAGGAGCTTAATGGATATATCTATGGAAGAGGAACTATTGATGATAAAAACTGTGTGATTGTAAGTTTGAAAAAAGCTCCATCAATGATTTATAGCACTTTATCTCAATCCACTAAATAAAAATAATGGAATTATAGTAAATCTAGAATGCTGATGACTGAGGCCTTTGGGGACTGTAAGAGTATCCAGTAACTTAAAGGCTTGAAATTCATTTTCATCAGCAAGATTGATAGTGTGAGTTTACCCTGAAGATGAATTAATGTCACAATGTCAGCGATTTATACGCCAATGTATCTGTGCATCTATATAGACGTATGTGAGTTTTAGTGTCTTTATGTTTTTGGGTTTTTTTTCCAATGATTTCACTTAGATCAAAAAGCTTTAGGCAACAGGGCTTACTCCAAGCCAGTATAGTGACACATGCACCTTAAGAAGACACTATAGGCACCAAGCAATTTTAGATTAACAAAGTGATTATGGTGTATAGATCATGCCCCTGCAGTCTCACTGCTTAAATCTCTACCAGGGGAGGAGTGGTTATGTCTGCATAAACAGTGATTTAACTCCTGAGTGGCAGAGATTTGAGCAGTGAGACTGCAGGAGCATTATCTACATACTAAAACTGCTAGTTAAGTTAGTTGTTTTGATGCCTATTGTATCCATTTAGAAAAAAACAATAGAGAAGGTGTTCAGTGCATTACAGTCACCTGTTTGAGAAATATAAACCCAAATTAAAAATTCTCACAGTATATGTGTGCGTCAAAGGTTCACAAATCATACAGTTTTCATTGAGCCCTTCTAAAACATACATTAGTACCATATATTATTGTAGCGTTACTCACCTTATCCAGGGGCCGGCCGCGGTCCTCTCTTCGAGCCGCGCGCGGTCCTGCTGCTGGAAGGCGCGGTCCTGCAACAGGAAGGCGGGCAGTGACCGCGAGAAGCGGTCACGTGTCCCGCCTGAATCTAAGAACGTGCCGCGAGTCTCGGGCGTGCTCTTAAAGAGGCAGTGGGAACCTAAATTGTTAAAAGGCTCCCATTGGCCCCTGTCATGCCACACTCCCCATACACTTACCTTTTGGGGGTGTGGATATGACAGGAGCCAATCACATTAGTTTAAAAGCTATATATACTTACCTCTCCCTTTACTCTCTGCCCTATCGTGGTTTCTGTATCAGTTCCCTTTAGCGCTTGTTGTGTTCAGTTGTGTTTCTCCGTTTTGACTTTGGCTTTGTTTCTGACTACGTTTTCTCTTTATCCTTATCTGTTCTGGTTGTCGGCTTGCTGTTTACTGTGTACCAGACCCCGGCTTGTCCTAGTTTACGCTGTCTCTCTGTGTCCTTGACTTCGGATCGTTCCTGACTCTGCCTCCTCTCATATACGTCGAGTCCGGCCATTCTAAGGTCCGGTAGACGTATCTCTCCTCTGTGTTGTCTTCTGTTTAGCTGAATCCTGCGTGTTGGGGTATATTCTCGTTACATTACGATAGGGCCATGGACCCCGCAGATTTGGCTCAGCAAATGGCTTCTCACGAGGCAAGGTTTGTAGAACAGGATCATCGTATGGATCAGATAGCACAGGCTCTCCAGACGCTCTTGTCTAGAACTATTCCTGCAACCGCACCTAACCCTCCTACACCCCATCCTCCCGAAGTATCCAATTCACCCAATACTTCGCCCCATTTAACACCTCCTCCTAGGTATGGAGGGGAAGCCAAGACATGCAGAGGTTTTATTAATCAAATAGAATTCCACCTTGAGATGTATCCTCATTCCTTTCCCACTGATAGGTCTAAAGTGGGGTTTTTGATGCATCAACTTACTGACAAAGCACTTGAGTGGGCAAATCCTATTTGGGAGGCCAATGGACCTATGGTGCATAATTTCAATAGCTTTCTTACGGCTTTTCGTAGAACTTTTGACACAACAAAAAGGTCAAAGAATGCCGCAAGAGCATTAATGAGAATTAAACAGGGGTCTAGGTCTGTGGCTGATTATGCTATTCAGTTTCGTACCCTTGCTTCACAGGTAGATTGGACCAATAATGGGTTAACTACTGCATTCATGGAAGGTTTATCTGACACTATATTAGATGAGGTAGCGGCAAGAGAGCTTCCTATTCCATTAGAGGACCTTATTGACTACCTCATTGATATAGATAATAGAATTCGTGACAGGCTCTATACCAAGAACAGGAATAGACGTGTAGTCACACCTACTAACCCCAGAGTTGATAAACCTGAGAGTGTTAAAGTATCCGAGGAGGAACCCATGCAATTAGGGGTTGCCAAACTCTCAGATACTGAAAAACTACTTAGAAGAAGGAACGGACTCTGCCTATACTGTGGTAGGCGAGATCATATGGTAAAGGAATGCCCTTTGCTTCCGGAAAACTCTCGCACCTAAGACCTTAGGGTGTGATATCTAAGTCTCCTAAATTGCCTCCTAACCGTTTGCTTTTCCCTGTTTCCCTTCATACAGGAGAGAGTTGTATAGCTGAAAGCATACTAGCCTTGGTTGATTCCGGGGCTGCTGAGAACTTCATTGAGTTTGTTACGAAAAATAACATTCCCGTCAGAGAGAGGCAGATACCCTTGGCCATTGAGGCCATAGATGGTAGACCTTTAAATACTCCAGTAGTTACCCATGAAACTGTACCATTATTCATGTACACAGGGGTTTTACACCTTGAGACCATTCGGTTTCAGGTTATCACCTCTCCCTCTTCTCATATCGTGTTAGGGTACCCATGGTTATGTTCTCACAATCCCATTTTTGACTGGGAATTGGGGCAATTAAAATCATGGGGTAAAACCTGCCACGACTCTTGTATGAGTAAAGTCATCCCTTTAAATACCATTAATGTTCCTACTACTCCTCCTTTATCTACTGTTATACCTCCTCAGTACTTGTTTCTCAAAACTGTATTCGATAAAAGGGAAGCTGATAAATTACCGCCTCACAGATCCTATGATTGTGCTATCGATTTATTGCCTGGCACTATACCTCCTAAGGGCAGGGTGTACCCTTTATCTATTCAAGAAAACCGTATCATGGAGGAGTATGTTAAAGAATCACTAGAAAAAGGGTTCATTAGGAGATCCTCTTCTCCGGCTGGAGCAGGGTTTTTCTTTGTATCTAAGAAAGAGGGTGATTTAAGACCGTGCATCGACTATAGAGGTCTAAACAAAATCACTATCAAAAATGCATACCCTATACCTTTAATTACAGAGTTATTTGACAGGCTGAAACATGCTACTGTGTTCACCAAATTGGACCTTAGAGGTGCATACAATTTAATACGCATAAAGGAAGGTCACGAATGGAAGACTGCATTCAACACTAGATCCGGTCATTACGAGTACACTGTTATGCCATTTGGTCTTTGCAATGCCCCAGCAGTATTTCAGGAATTTATTAATGACGTCCTAAGAGACTTTATTCACACATTTGTAATTGTATACTTGGACTACATATTGATATATTCTACAGATTTGCACACTCATCACAGACATGTCACAACGGTCCTGAAGACCCTTCTTACTAATGGTCTTTATTGTAAATTAGAGAAATGTTTATTTGACCAATCCGAAGTCCAGTTCTTGGGGTATTTGATTTCCGCCAAAGGGTTTCGTATGGATACCCAGAAGCTTTCTGCTGTCATAGAGTGGCCTCTACCACAGGGTTTGAAAGCAATTCAACGTTTTCTTGGTTTCTCTAACTATTATAGACGCTTTATTAAGGGTTTTTCGTCTATTGTAGCACCTATCACCCGTATGACAAAAAAGGGTGGTAATACTCGTGTCTGGTCTCCCGAGGCACTTCAGGCTTTTGACTTTCTTAAAACTACATTTGCCTCTGCACCTATTTTACAGCACCCTATCCCCTCACTACCTTATATTCTTGAAGTTGATGCTTCTGAAATCGGGGTAGGTGCTGTTTTGTCCCAAAGAGAATCGCCTGAAAGGCCATTGCATCCTTGTGGCTTCTTTTCTAGACAAATGTCCAAAGCTGAAAGGAATTATGATGTGGGTAATCGTGAACTCCTTGCTATTATCTTAGCTCTTAAAGAATGGAAACACTTGTTAGAAGGAACTAAGGATGCTATCCTCATTTTTACAGATCACAAGAATCTATCCTACCTTGGTGAAGCTAAAAGATTGTCTTCTAGGCAGGCTAGATGGTCACTATTTTTGTCCCGTTTCAATTATATTATCACCTATAGGCCAGGTGATCGCAACATTAAAGCAGATGCTCTGTCCAGACAGTTCGAAACTACTGACAAACAGGAGGTTGATGTTACTCCTGTCATTCCCCCAGACAGGATAATAGCCACTACTATATTGTCTATTTCTTCATCCCTCTTGCAGACCATACAAGCGAAACAAAGTATGGCACCTAGCGAGAGGCCTATTGATAAATTGTTTGTTGATGTTCCAGAGAGACGGGAGATTCTGTCATTATATCATGATACTAAGACTGCTGGACATCCTGGTATTACCAAAACGATGTCAGCAGTTTCTTGATATTTTTGGTGGGGTTCCTTACGCAAGTATGTCACTGACTATATAAGTGCTTGTACTACTTGTGCATGTATGAAAACGTCTCGTAGAGTTCCTTGTGGGCTTCTGCATCCCTTACCAGTTCCCGAGAGACCTTGGTCTAACCTATCCATGCATTTTATTGTTGAATTACCCCCTTCGAATGGTAACACAGTCATCCTGATGAGAGTAGATCGGTTTTCCAAGATAGCTCACTTTGTGTCTCTTCGCAAGTTGCCCACATCCAAGGAACTGGCTCTTGTCTTTGCTAGAGAAGTATTTCGGTTACATGGTATTCCTGTATCTATTGTGTCCGATAGGGGTAGCCAATTTATTTCCAGGTTCTGGAAAGCCTTTTGCTCAGAAATGGGTATTTCTCTCTCATTTTCTTCCGCTTACCATCCCCAGTCTAATGGAGCTGCTGAACGTGCCAACCAGTCTCTGGAGCAGTACCTTCATTGTTTTGTGTCTCACCATCAGGACAATTGGTCTGACCTGCTTCCTTGGGCTGAGTTTGCTCGGAATAATGCCACTCATGATTCTTCCGGCAAAAGCCCTTTTTACGTTGTCTATGGCCAGCATCCCGTTGTTCTTCCGGCTGCATTCTCCTCACAGGGCATGCCAGTTCTGGATGAGCATTTGGCTGGTTTGCGTAATACTTGGGAGCAGGTTCAGCGTTCTTTGGTGGATTCCGCTGCTCGCCAGAAGGCTCAGGCTGACAAGCATCGCAGGGCGGCTCCTACTTATGTTGTGGGGGACAGGGTTTTGCTTTCCACGCGGAATATTCGCCTGCGGGTGCCTTCTATGAAATTGGCTCCCCGTTTCATAGGTCCTTATCGTATACTGCATAAGGTTAATCCTGTTTCATACGCCTTGGGTCTTCCTAGGAATCTGCGTATTCCTAATGTATTTCACACCTCGTTGTTGAAGCCTTACGTACGCAACCGCTATACCTGGCATTCCCCGCCTCCACCTCCTGTCTCTGTGGAGGGTCATGAGGAATTCGAAGTCTCTGCTGTTCTTGACTCTCGTTCCCTTAGGGGTCGACTTCAGTACTTGGTGCATTGGAAGGGTTATGGGCCTGAGGAGCGCAGTTGGATTTCAGCTGATGCTGTTCACGCTCACCGCCTTGTGCATTCTTACCATTCTCGTTTTCCTGCCAGGCCTGGCCCTACCCGCCCGGAGGGCGTGTCCTCAGGGGGGGTACTGTAGCGTTACTCACCTTATCCAGGGGCCGGCCGCGGTCCTCTCTTCGAGCCGCGCGCGGTCCTGCTGCTGCACGAGCCGCGCGCGGCTCATCCGACGGCCTCAACAGGAAGGCGGGCAGTGACCGCAAGAAGCGGTCACGTGTCCCGCCTGAATCTAAGAGCGCGCCGCGAGTCTCGGGCGCGCTCTTAAAGAGGCAGTGGGAGCCTAAATTGTTAAAAGGCTCCCATTGGCCCCTGTCATGCCACACTCCCCATACACTTACCTTTTGGGGGTGTGGATATGACAGGAGCCAATCACATTAGTTTAAAAGCTATATATACTTACCTCTCCCTTTACTCCCTGCCCTATCGTGGTTTCTGTATCAGTTCCCTTTAGCGCTTGTTGTGTTCAGTTGTGTTTCTCTGTTTTGACTTTGGCTTTGTTTCTGACTACGTTTTCTCTTTATCCTTATCTGTTCTGGTTGTCGGCTTGCTGTTTACTGTGTACCAGACCCCGGCTTGTCCTAGTTTACGCTGTCTCTCTGTGTCCTTGACTTCGGATCGTTCCTGACTCTGCCTCCTCTCATATACGTCGAGTCCGGCCATTCTAAGGTCCGGTAGACGTATCTCTCCTCTGTGTTGTCTTCTGTTTAGCTGAATCCTGCGTGTTGGGGTATATTCTCGTTACAATTATTTCTGCTGGAAAACTATACTATCACTGTATCAGTAACAGGCATTTTAGTTAAGCCATTACAGTTAGGAGAAAAAGAGAAGAAGGGATAGGATGGGTTATTGAGGGTGAAAAATAAAATCTCCACAAGTCTACTTAATGTCTGCCAACAAGCTGTCAGATAGGCTGGGCAGGGACATAGATCTGAGTTCAAAGAGTCCCTAAATTTGGGGAGGGTGGGGTGGAATCCATGCCCTAGTGCCCTCCCTGTAAGTGTAATCTAGCCAAGAAGTTCAGGTTGCGGTAGATTTGTTGGGAATACCCCAAAGAGCAGAAGTTAGGGACTCCATTTTGTAGATTTCTTCCTTCCTAGCAACTCACTGCTGGAGGGTCACACAAGCGAGTGCTTCCAATAAGTTGTTATCAGGGACTTGCTGCTGTAAACAGATGCTTGGTTAAGGACTTCTTATATGCCTTTAGGGGCATACTGGTATGGTGTAGGTGCATGGGAAAAGGTTGAAATGGTATGTTGGTGTCTGTATCAACTTCCAAAAGGGGAAGATGTCAGGGCACGACAACCAGATGTGGAGCATATTGTGGAACAACTGCTCCAGCATTCCTCAGAGATTGCAGCATTCATGCGATGTATCACATCCGGTGTTCTATACCACATAGTTAATACCTTACAGCTCATTTCCTGGTACTCTAAATTATTTTTTATTCTAACATATTCAATTAGGGTTATTTCCCCCTATAAAATATATATATATTTTTTTTTTTGTCAATATTTATTTTTAAGTGTATAAGAGTACAGACAGGCTTGTAGGGCCACAACAGCAACCTCAAGCTTCTTGTTGAGAAATATAATATTGTGACATGAGATGTACTGGCACATTTTTGAGAATAATACAAGAAAACAAATATAATAAAGTAATCTGATATCTACAGAGAAGTCCGTAGCTGCTCACTCCTAAATAAAATTCTGGTTGGATCATGTTTGACTAGAGGGTGTGAGAATCTGTAGATGCCTCACTAACTATAAGAGGAAGCAAGGAGAGTATCACCTAGAGTAGTGAGGCTGAAAGACCCATGTTTAGTTGGTACATCAAGTAAAACTAAGTATTATCATGTGGCTGGGAAGCAGAGAATGAAGTGGGTAAGTAACCTCATTCGACCGGCAGGAAAAAGTGTAGTAAGGCACTAAACTGTGTACTCGTGAACACGGTATGTGTCACATAATAATAAAAATGAAAATAAAAAGCAGTAAAAACTAAAACAAAACACAAAACCTTTAGACTGTTTGCAGGCCAGTCACGGTATTGATGTAGACGGGGAATCTCCTCTATGAGACGCCAGCACAAACGGGTGAGCCCTCTCAGGGTCCCAGATTGACGGTCCTGTCGCAGGCAGAGAAATGGTCAGCTCGGTGAGAGTGACTGATTACCCACGCTTCTGCAGTGTGGATGCCATCTCTGAAGCGTCAATGACTTTTATCGTGCCAGTGTCACAAACAATCAGTAGGCAACATGGCATTCCCCATTTGTATTGTAGCTTATGAGCAACCAGTTCCTTGGTAAGTGGCCGCAAGGATCTGCGCTATTCCAGAGTGACTCTGGAATAGTCAGAATGAAAGGTCAGAGAGTGTTCCTCAAAGCGTAGTGAAGACTTACTGTGGATCACTGCCATAAAAAAACACCCACCTGTTCTGGTTATGTTAGAATCGGATTATAACATCCCTGTTTGACCCGGTACCATCCATCCAGAGGCATTGTCTTGGCTTGCTTGGCAGAAAAGAGGTGAGTGAGTAATCTGCAAAAGAAATGTGGAATATACACAGCCTCTATGATTTCAGGTTGGCCACGCATTTTGACATTCTTTCAGCGACTTCTGTCCTCCATGGCCGCAATGTCCTCTTGAGACTGGACTTGAGAGTGCTGCAGTGTCTGCAGACCTTGTTCCAGATTCGAGATCTCTTGATCATGAGCAGCAGTATTCACCTCTGTGTTGTGTAGGCAAGCGGGGACCCCGTTGATCTGGTCTCGAAACTGACGTCAGCCACAATATTTCTGCGGAGCTCATTCAGAGTCTCTATTGTGACTGGATGCTTCCCTGTAGGCTGAAGCGGTGAGTTGTGATCTTCGTCAGCATTAGCCTCCACGGTGCAGTCCCCAGTGAAGGACGCCTCGCTTGATGATCGGGATAATCCGATGGATGGTGACATTTGCTATCCACAAGAGATTGTAGATGTCGGCGGGTGTGGGGGGGGGGTTTGTCTGCCCTGTTTTTCTTGTTCTTTTGCCCCATCTTGTGAGTAAGATGGGAAAAGTCTGTATAACCCGCTTTTTAATATATTTTCCTTTGTGCTTGCCCAGAGCTCAGGAAAAAGTGTCCTGCTAGCATCTATAAAATGATTTTTAATGAATTTTTTTTAATTGTTTTTAAATAAAATGTATGTTTTGGGATATTTTGAGTAAGTATGTATACCCCTTTTCCCATTGTTTTTCACACAATGAAGTTGAATTCATGTATTTGTGTTTTATGGATGTTTCAAATGTTCCTAGGGCTACCAATAAGTGTTTTAAAGTTTCTTATATTCTGGTTTGTTTATTATATGCTTACTGTTTTTAAATGAGCTCAGGTAAAACTTCCTTTCTCTTTGCTTTAGGGGATTCTACAGGCTCTTGAATTTCTCCTGAAGAGGGGCTACAAACCACGTCGCTCCTTCTACATTGGATTTGGACATGATGAAGAGGTAGAGTATGAATACTTGTAAGGCACTGGAGGGAATTGCTACCTGTTATTGTAATGTATTCTGCTTATAAGAGGTCATTTTGTAGACCTTATACTGTATTTATTCTAGATTTCAGGCAGTTACGGAGCCATGAAGATTGTGGAGACATTACAATCCCGAGGAATAAAGTTGTTATTTCTTGTGGATGAAGGTTTGGCTGTTCTAGATGGTGTAATCCAAGGCACAAGAAGACCCATTGCTCTGTAAGTAAAATATTGTTTGGGGAATGAGGCTTGGTGAAGTTAAATAAAGCTATTTCTTAAAGGACCACTATAGGCACCCAGACCCAGCTTAATGAAGTGGTCTGGGTGCCAGGTCCATCTAGGATTAACCCTTTCTGCTGTAAACATATGTTTACATTAGGGTTAATCCAGCCTCTAGTGGCTCTCTTATTGACAGCCGCTAGAGGCGCTTCCGCTCTTCTCACTGTGATTTTCACAGTGAGAAGATTCCTGCGTCCATAGGAAAGCATTGAGAATGCTTTCCTATGGACTAGCTGAATGCGCGCGTGCTTCTTGCTGAGCATGCGCATTCAGCCGATGACGGAAGAAGAGGGAGGAGAGTCTCCAGCACCGAGGAAGCCCGGCGCTGTAGAAAGGTAAGTGTTTAACCCCTTCCTCTGCATCCAGCCCGGCAGGAGGGGGACCCTGAGGGTGGGGGCACCCTCAGGGCACTATAGTGCCAGGAAAACGAGTGTACTATAGTGGTCCTTTAAAAGAATCACAATACGTCTGCATTGTTGCTGAATTTGTTGGTACCTAATAAATTAAATATTACTACCATATTGCTGCTGAAAGCTCTGTGTGTGTTTTGTTTTGCATTATTCAAGGTAGCACCCAAAGCCTACTTGCTTTTTAACATTTACAATTCTGCATTATCAATATCAATTCCATCCAACCTGGATGGCAGTGATCACACTATCCGCATATCACTGCTTTCCATGCTTGATGGAACTGATATTAGTTGGCTTGCATCTTAATCTAAAGCTATACATTACATTTTGTTAACAAGTTTTATATTTCATAAAATGTAGCTATAAAAGTGACATTCAGTGTAAATTAAAACTTGACTCTCTGTATCTACCCTAGTTGTGTGCTTATTTGCCAGGCCATCTTCAGTGTCTGTTTTGGGCTATTGATCTGTCCAAATTTAATAACTTGACTTGCTTTTTCATTTCCCTCTGAAACCCCCCTTAGATGCTTATGTAGTATATTTTAAATTAATACTTTAGTGTTCGGAATATATCTTTGCATTCCTAACACTAAAGTGTCCCTCTGCCCCTGCAGCACCCTCCCCCTCGCGTCCATGAAAGTGTTAAAACACTTTTTAATTCACTTACCTGATTCCAGTTCCGAAGTCACTAAAATGCAAGGTTTTGCTCCTCCTCTGCTGATGTCCGCCAATGATGGGGGGACCTAATGCATATTGAATCAATGCTTTCCTGTGGGGTTTTGCTCATTCAGGGTGTTTTCATGGAGTCAAGCCTTTAGTGGTTATCTGGCACTAATAGCACTATAATTTGTAGACAATGCAGTTTTTTCTAAACCTGCAATGTTTTACATTGCAGGGCAGGGGGGACAAGGACACTGCACCAGACCACTTCAATGAGATGAAGTGGTCTGGGTGCCTATAATCTCCCTCTTAATGTACAAATTAAGTTCAGGTAGGGAAAGTTATAGTTGTGTGGGTTTATTTATTTATTTCTCCCTGTCTACAAAAAAAATACAGAGATTGCTCTTTTTTTCTGGAAATGCAGCATAACTTAAAAATAATGTGAATTAATGGTGGTGAGGATCTGATTGTCGATAGTCCAATTATAATCTGCAGGAGTTAGTGATGTTTATCTAATTTTGTAATTTGGAAATAGGGGAATGTTGCAAACTGGTCTACCGCTATAGTATCTTGAACAAGTGTGTGTGTTTTTTTATTAACGTGTTTATGCACCTGAAAGTACCTATATACTACATAGAGTATATGTGCTTTTGGGGGCCCCACTGGTATGATAATCACAATTGCCCTGCCCTCACACACAACTCTTGAGCACTGCACAGCCCCTAGGATGTTTGTGAGATTGGAGCTCCATCACCTGCAGGCCTTCCAGAAACATGAGACCCAAAGTCATGTCCACAGTCTTTTAAATGTTTTAGAGCATATATGATATGGTACTATCTTACAACTCTTCACATTTTCACATATTGGCAAAGCACCGGCAAATCTTGTAATACCTTTTTTATTGGACTAACAGAATTTTTTTTATTACACGCTTTCGGGAGAACTTCCTTTTCTCAAATTGGAAGCATTTCTGAGCAAGATGACACATAGAATTCAAATTTGAGTTTTGTGATACAGGAGTTAAAGCGATATGAGTGCAGATAAGACAGGTTTGATAGAACATAGACACCATTCTTGCAGGGGGTTGTAAATATCTTATGCGAAGATCACAGAGTGAGGGGGGAGATAGAGGGGGAAAAAAAAAGTCAACAATATATATATATATATATATATATATATATATATATATATATATATATATATAATCATTTTAAAAATTGATTTTCTCACCCTTCCTGGGTGGTATGTTTATTCCTCATTCTCGGGTCCTCTACTAGAGGCCTGGGAGTTTGAGGGTTCTGCACAGTATCTTAGCTGTTCCTAGAACTGCTTTCTTCCGGACAACGATCTCAGATGTTCCACCTGGAATCTGTTGAAGCCACTCCACCAACTTGGGAGTCACAGTCCCAAGTGCTCCTATCACAACTGGGACTACTACTCCCTTTACTTTCCACATCCTTTCTAGTTCTTCTTTCAGTTCTTGGTATTTCTCCACCTTCTCATGTTCCTTCTTCCTGATGTTATAGTCACTGGGTATTGCCACATCCACCACGACTGCAGTCTTTCGTTCCTTGTCTACCACCATGATGTCCGGTTGGTTGGCCAGGACTTGCTTGTCTGTCTGGATCTTGAAGTTCCACAGGCTCTTATCCCTGTCATTCTCGGCTACCCTTTGTGGTATCTCCCATCTGGACTTAGGCAGGTCCAATCCATATTCTGTGCAGATGTTTCGGTACACAGTCCCAGCAGCTTGGTTTTGTCTTTCTGTGTATGCTGTTCCTGCTAACATCTTGCATCCGGCTACTAGGTGCTGGACTGTCTCAGAAGCCTCTTTGCACAGTCTGCACCTTGGGTCTTGTCTGGTGTGGTAAACTCCAGCTTCTATTGATCTGGTGCCACTGGAGGGGCTTCCTGACGTTCAGCATCCCTACGCTTTGCATGAAGACGCTGAATTTTCCTCATAGAGATGCATTGATTCAATGCATCTCTATGAGAAGGTCCTGATTGGCCAAAATGGCATTTGGCTCTGCCCCCGTGCAGATTTTAGCCAATCCTAAGCTTTCCCTATGGGAAAGCATTGGATTGGTTAAATATCTGCCATTTTGATGATGTCACAAAGGGGGCAGAGCCACCGCCGGTGGACCTGCGTGGCGCTGGAAATAAGGTGACTTTTAAACTTTTATGGGGAGTTAAGGGGGGGGGGGGCAAGCCACCTTAATGGTGGGTTTAGCACTATATGGTCAGGAATATATGTTTGTGTTCCTGACCCTATAGTGATCCTTTAATCTTTACCAGTTTATTAAAATCTGGTTTAACCCCTTAAAACCGGAGGACATACAATTACGCCCTCTAATAGGCGGCTCTAAACGCCGCCGGGCGTAATTGTACGCCCTCCGGTTTTTGTTAACTTACCCGGTCGCCGGCGGTCCCACGCCGGCGATCGCGGTTGGGGGGACTCCCAGGGAGCCCCCCGCGGCACGTCCGTCCTCGTCGAAGCCCCCCGGCCATGTGAGAGTGGGGTCCTAGCGAGGACCCCACAATCACATTGCCGGGGATAGCTGGCTTCTGTATTGCCGGCAGGGGGGCTGCCTGTAATGACAGGTGGTCCCCCTGCTGGCTGAAAATAAAATAAAAATAAGTTAATGGTGTAAAAAAAATAATTATATATACTTAGATCATATATATATATATCATATATATATGATCTAAGTATATATATACACATATACATACACACACATACACCGTCTAGGTGTATTTTACTATTAATATATATATAATTATATATATATATTAATATCAAATTACACGTAGACTGATACTGATTAAATATATATATAATTATTGTTATATATATATTTATATATAATATAAAAAAAAATGTAAATACGTTAAAAAATTAAATTAAAAAAATAATTAAAAATAAATAATTAAAAAATATATAGATGTGTGTTATTTCGTTCTAACTGTTTTGTGAAATTAATATATATATATATATATATCTCAAAATACACGTAGAACGAAATAATATATCTATATACATAAATATATACGTATATATCACTATATATATATACCTATATATAAATAAAAATATTTTAAAAAAATTATATAGATATATACATATATATACACATGCGTATATATATACACATATATTAATTCTACATATATATTTATGTAATATTTTTACATAATTAGGTATCTTAATTAATTACAATTAGCAGGACCTGCCTGACAACCCATGCCGAAAGTAAAGGGAATTTAATTTGCTAGCACTATATTTAACCCTATAGCTTTCCGAGACACCATAAAACCTGTACATGGGGGTACTGTTCTACTCGGGAGACTTCGCTGAATACAAATATTAGTGTTTCAAAACAGTAAAATGTATTACACCGATGATATCGCCAGTAAAAGTGAAGTTTTTTGCATTTTTCACGCACAAACAGCATTACACGGACAATATTATTGCTGTGATACTTTTTACTGTTTTGAAACACAAATATTTGTGTTCAGCTAAGTCTCCCGAGTACAACAGTACCCCTCATGTACAGGTTTTATGGTGTTTTCAAAAGTTACAGCATCAAATATAAGGCTTGTGTTTAATTTTTTTCACATTAAAATTCGCCAGATTGGTTACGTTGCCTTTGAGACCCTATGGTAGCCCAAGAATGAAAATTACCCCTATGATGGCATACCATTTGCAATAGTAGACAACCCAAGGTATTGCAAACAGGGTATGTCCAGTCTTTTTAGTAGCCACTTAGTCACAAACACTGGCCAAAATTGGCGTTTTTTGCATTTTTCACACACAAACAAATACTAACGCTAACTTTGGCCAGTGTTTGTGACCAAATGGTTACTAAAAAAGA